TCTTCATCAGGCATGTGACCCCCGCAGAACCCCTTCATCAGGCGTGTGACCCCCGCAGAACCCCTTTGTCAGGCGTGTGACCCCCGCAGGACCCCTTCATCAGGCATGTGACCCCCGCAGAACCCCTTTATCAGGCGTGTGACCCCCGCAGGACCCCTTCATCAGGCATGTGACCCCCGCAGAACCCCTTCATCAGGTGTGTGTTCCCCACAGAACCCCTTTATCAGGCGTGTGACCCCCGCAGGACCCCTTCATCAGGCATGTGACCCCCGCAGAACCCCTTCATCAGGTGTGTGTGTTCCCCACAGAACCTCTTTATCAGGCGTGCGACCCCCGCAGGACCCCTTCATCAGGCATGTGACCCCCGCAGAACCCCTTCATCAGGCATGTGACCCCCGCAGAACCTCTTTATCAGGCGTGTGACCCCTGCAGGACCCCTTCGTCAGGCATGTATAGCAGTGGTACACAGGAGCTGTTACGTTGCAGGCTTGCAGCAGTCTCCATTCCATGGGATCTGATCCATGAGAGGCTGCCAGAGGTGAAGGATGTCCTACTCTAGTTCCTGGGCCAGATCAGTGGCAGATGCTGCGCCATGACGTGGGAGGGATTTTCCTCTCCTGGCTTCTGATTCGCTATTTCCAGCTAGATTTCCACCGGTCTGCCAAGGGTCATAAGCCAATCCCTCCCCTATTTTATCCAGCCACACACCCCGGTATCTTTGAGCAGCTCACCCCCTCCCTCTGCAAGCTCCTCCTCCTGTCTAGTAATCTTCGGTGGCCAGAAGGTCTATGTGTTGCCTAGAGCAGTACACAACCTAACCACGGCTACTAACTGACTTGTGTTATTGGACAGAATAATGGATTCAGCTACGAGAACATAATTGGGAAGTACAGTGCGATGAGCAAGTATCATTTCACCATGATGAGGTACAGTATCTCCCAAAAGTGAGTCCACCCCTAAGTGACAAGGTCCAAACTGGGCCCAAAGTGTCAATATTTTGTGTGGCCGCCATTATTTTCCAGCACTGCCTTAACCCTCTTGGACATGGAGGTCACCAGAGCTTCACAGGTTGCCACTGGAGTCCTCTTCCACTCCTCCATGATGACATCACGGAGCTGGTGATGTTAGAGACCTTGCGCTCCTCCACCTTCCGTTTGAGGCCCCACAGATGCTCAATCACCTTCACCCTCAGCTTCTTTAGCAAGGCAGTGGTGGTCTTGGAGGTGTGTTTGGGGTCGTTATGTTGGAATACTGTCCTGTGGCCCAGTCTCTGAAGGGAGGGGATCATGCTCTGCTTCAGTATGTCACAGTACATGTTGGCAATTATGGTTCCCTCAATGAACTGTAGCTCCCCAGTTTTGGCAGCACTCATGCAGCCCCAGACCATGACACCCCCACCACCATGCCGCCCCAGACCATGACACTCCCACCACCATGTAGCCTCAGACCATGACACTCCCATCACCATGCCGCCCCATACCATGACACTCTCACCACCATGCAGCCCCAGACCATGACACCCCCACCACCATGCCGCCCCAGACCATGACACTCCCACCACCATGTAGGCCCCCAGACCGTGACACCACCACCACCATGCAGCCCCAGACCATGACACCCCCCACCACCATGCGGCCCCAGACCATGACACTCCACCACCATGCCGCCCCAGACCATGACACTCCCACACCATGTAGCCCCAGACCATGACACTCCCATCACCATGCAGCCCCAGACCATGACACTCCCAGCACCATGCAGCCCCAGACCATGACACTCCCATCACCATGCAGCCCCAGACCATGACACCCCCACCACCATGGGCTCCAGACCATGACACCCCCACCACCATGGGGCTCCAGACCATGACACTCCCACCACCAATTACGCCCCAGACCATGACACTCCCACCACCATCCCGCCCCAGACCATGACACTCCCACCACCATGCAGCCCCAGACCATGACACTCCCAGCACCATGCAGCCCCAGACCATGACACTCCCACCACCATGCAGCCCCAGACCATGACACTCCCACCACTTTGCAGCCCCAGAACATGACACTCCCACCACCACGCTCTTCAGCGTTGTCGCATTAAAAGATATCATAAAATATTTACAAAAACATGAGGGGTGGACTCACTTCTGTGAGATACTGTATGTATGGACTAATAGAATTCTCCAGTAGAACACTAGAGAAGCAGATGCAGAAAATGTGGTTTTCAGGTAGCAACAGCCAAATTAGTTTCATTTTGGTTATATTTTAAACCAGGTTATTGGCATTTCATTTAAAAGAAGCATCAATGCTTTCTAAAACAAGCTATTTCTTAGCAATTTCAGCCTCCTGAACACTGGAGTACCTCTATGGATGTCAAGTGGTTCTGGCACAAAGGAGACACGAGCTACGCAGAGGTCGGGGCAGCCCAACTGGTATAAAATTAAGCCAAAAAGGTAATGCACTCCCAGAAAGCTCCTTGACCTGGCAAGACTTAGAAGTGCCTCAAAAGATTTACGTTTTGGGAACAAATTTATTACAAAGTTTCAAAACAAATTGCATTTTCTTCATCTTTGCTTCTCCCATAATTCGGAGAAGATATAAAAATTGCCCTTTGGAAATAAAGAACGAAAGTGGCAACATTTTAGAAATGCTGTTGGGCAAGACTGGTCAGTTGGAACCAAAGTGTCAGGGTCCTGTCCACGGCAGAAGTTCTGGAAGATCTGGCATTTTTGACAGTACCCTGCATGGCTGCAGAAGTACACATCAGCCTCAGTTTGGTGCCAGATGGCCTTTATAAGGAGGCTCATCACTTCCTCAAGTTGCTGGATGATCTCTAGCTCCTTGTGCCCTGTTCCTGTTTCCTGTGATTGTGACCTGTGATTTCCGGTTACCGACTCGGCTTGCTCCTGGACCTGTCTACTCTGATTTACCCCTGATCTGACCTCGCTTGGCTTACAGATACTCTCTCTCTCTCTCTCTCTCTCTCTCGCTCCTCTGTGTATGGCCCTCGGCTATCCCATCTGGCTACGTCTGCTCTGACTCCCACCTGGTACCTGACCTTGGCTTGAACCGACTACCCAGTATACACTAAATCCCGGAAGGCTTGCATACCACGCACAGGCGCCTCCTGTCTGCAGACCTATCTCCGTACACCAGCTGTGCTTCTGAGTGGACCACCAACCAGCACTCCTACAGGCGACCTGTGCAACTTTGGGCCTGACTACCGCTGTCACTCTCAGGGGAGTCCGGAACTCAGCCGCAAGGGAAGCCCTCTCTCCATTGGCCTCCATCACCAGGTACCTGATATAAGGTGACAAACACATACAGTATGTACAAATAAAGAGAGACTTCCATCCAGCATTACTATAAATAACGTCTTCAATTATGTTCTGAGAGTGTCAGGGTCACTCACTTTTCAGTAGGGGTGTGGGCCAATGTGCATATGTATGTTGCGGTGTGTGCCCGTTCATGGCATGTCAACATACCGAGCACCGGAGTCGGAACCAAACGGATTATTGACCCCTGTCTAGGGTCAATGTTGGGCGATCGTCTATGACTTAATCTGACTTGCTGCCATTCTAAGGTTGTTATTGACCTGGTTTGCTCTTGCTGAGCTTCCTCCGATTCCCCCAATTGCTCTCCTTGCTTCTGTATCGATTTAAGCCTGCTTCTCAACTCTGCTTGCCAATGGATGGCGTTACGTAAATAATAGATATGTTCTTCAGAGCTAATGTATTTCGTTTCATAAACAATTCCTTGAGGGAAAAATGCTCCAAGACCAGGGTACATAACGGTGAATACTCATACACACCCCAGATACAGTAACCCAGCACTACAATGAACCTGTCATGTACCTCATAGAAGTCTGAATGGACGAGGTCAGCCTCTCTTGTGTCTCCAACCCAGGCCCCACTGAAGGTGGAGCAGATGGTGGTGAGGGACAGGAGAAACACGAGTGCCTGTGGATATTGATTGCAGAACTTGCGGCTGGAGGTGTAACCTCGGGGAATCAAGCAGGGCATCCAGTAAGGAACAGAGGAGATGCTGGAACGGTCAGCTGAGGTTAAGGAGGCACTCCACTGGAACTGCAAGATCTGGGTACGTGGCTTGCTGGAACTTCTGATAAGAGTGAGGTCAGAACACACCATGACAACCGGAGCTGATATAATGGACAGCCAGGACAAGCACTTGGCAGGACTGTAGAGCCAAACTGGAGCCGGAAGCGTAGTCAGAGTAATAGCCAGGGTCAGCAACGAGCAGGCGATGAGATACCGGAACATCAGACAAGGACGAGGTCAGGAGGAAGCCAGGATCAGAAACTGATGAGCAGAATCATAAACAGGATCCAAGAGCAGGTCAATGGCAAGCCGGGTCAGTACCGGATACACACCCGGATACAACAGGACACAGGGAATTAGCTAAAGACCAGTCAGCACAGAGAGTAGGAGCCTCCTTTAACTAGATGCCGACCGCAGATAGCCGAATGACGGCTGCCGGCCAGTTCTGAGTGGACGTCATATGTGTCCTACAGACACAGCTGATCACGTGATGTGGTAAAAGGCCAATCACAGCGGCCTTTTACCACGTGATCAGCGGTGTCCAAGTGTGGTTACCAAGGAGGGTTTAGGATCCCTTAACCACTTGCCGACCGCAGATAGCTGAATGACGGCTTCACTGCGGCCGGCCAGTTCTGGGTGCCAGTTCTGCGCGCACCCGGCGATCTCCGTGATCGCTGTGTCCTACGGACACAGCTGATCACGTGATGTGGTAAAAGGCCGATCCCACCGGCCTTTTACCACGTGATCAGCGGTGTCCAATGACACGCTGATCACAGGGAAATGCAAGTGCCGGTTCTCGGCTGCACTTTCCTCACGCTGTCAGATCGTGAGGAAAGTACTGCCGAGAACCGGCAGCTGTCAGAGTGGGGATCGGCACCGATCATCAGGACACTGATCACCAGTGCTCTGATGATCGGTGCCCAGCAGTGCCACCCGCAAATTCCACCCACCTGTGCCCAGCAGTGTGCCCACTAGCTCCGCCTACCTGTGCCCAGCAGATCACCCACCTGTGCCCAGCAGTGCACCCACCTGTGCCCAGAAGTCCCACCTACCTGTGCCCAGCAGTGCCACCCACCTGTGCCCAGAAGTGCCACCCACCTGTGCCCAGCAGTGCACCCACCTGTGCCACTCTGCAGTGTCACACACCTGTGCCCAGAAGTGCCACCTATCTGTGCCCAGCAGTGCCACCTACCTGTGCCCACCCACCTGTGCCCACCAGTGCCACCCACCTGTGCCCACCCACCAGTGCTGCCCACCAGTGCCCCACCAGTGCAGCCCAGCAGTGCTGCCAGTCAGTGCCACCAGTCAGTGCCCAGGGGTTGTGCCAGTCAGTGCCGCCAGTCAGTGCCCAGCAGTGATGCCAGTCAGTGCCGTCTATCAGTACCCATCATCAGTGTCACCTATCAGTGCCGCCTATCAGTGCTGCATATTAGTGCCGCCTATCCGTGACACCTCATTAGTGCTGTCTATCAGTGCCGCCTATCCGTGCCACCTCATTAGTACTGCCTATCAGTGCCCTTTAGTGCTGCCTATCAGTGCCCATCAGTGCTGCCTATCAGTGCCCATCAGTGCCGCCTCATCAACGCACATCAGTGAAGGAGAAAAAATACCTGTTTGAAAAATTTTATAATAGAAACAAAGAAACTTTTTTTTTTTTTTCAAATTTTTTTGCATTTTTTTATTTATAGTGCAAAAAGTAAAGTGCCCTGCGGGGATTAAATACCACCAAAAGAAAGCTCTATTTGTGAGAAAAAAATGATCAAAATTTCATATGGGTACAATGTTGCATGACCGCGCAATTGTCAATCAAAATGTGATAGCACTGAAAGCTGAAAATTGGCCTGGTAAGGAAGGGGGTAGAAGTGCCCGGTAGGCGAGGGGTTAAGTAGTCCATCTGGCGCCAGAAACTGGGGGAATTATTCCTGCGTTCGTGCTCCCGTGCGCGAACCTATACTCATTTCTATGCGCAATATTGTCTCTTACAGAACCAAAATAAAGATACAGCCTAACAGGGACAGAGCCACTCAGTCCTCCCCTTGGGCCTTAAAAAAAACATAAATACCCACATGGAAGAAATATATATTTGAAATGCTATAATTTTGGCCGTATTCAATATATTTCAATAAATATATATATTGTGACAGTGTGGCGATCTGTCACGATATAAGAAGGATATTTCACCCGGGATTCTCAACCAAGCAGGTTGAGGGGCTCCAGGGTACTTGTTTAACCCAGGGGAGGACTGACCATTTGGAAACTTGGGCACTGCCCAAGGGCCCGGGGTCAGTAGGGGGCCCCATGAGATGCCCCTGGTAACTTTTTCATAGGCTTTTTTGAGTTTGGGCAAGGACACAGGGGCCCCATGATCCCCTAATGCCGGGGGGTCCCATGAGTTGTCAGTCCGCCCCTGGTTTAACCCCTTCACGCCGGCACCTCCCGGCCCTTTAAGAATTTCAGAAGCCTGGAGGCGGGACAGGCAGGGCGGGGTTTAGGGTCATGTGACCGCTGTGACGCGTCGTCATGGCGGTCACATGATCGGGAAAGGTCCCGATCGAAAGAGGAGATCGGGACCTTTCCGTGAGTATTGGACATGTGTGCTGGGAGCGTGCAGGGCACACGCTTTCATCACGTGTTTTTTTTTAATAGAACGCAAATGTGCGGCAGCTCGGCGTCTAGGCCCAGACACCTGGAGGACGCACATTTGAGTTTGACCAGTGCCAAGAGGTTAAAGGAAAATGAGAGATTTGGGCTCTTTTTGACCCCCAGATGTCACCATAAAGAGGACCTGTCATCCTTTTTTCCTTGCAATAGGAATAAAAGTGATTAAAATAAATAAAGGGACAATGTAAAAAAAAAAAAAAAAAAAAAAAAATGACAGCGCCCCCATCGCTCTGTGCTCGTGCAGAGAAGTGAACGCAAGTCGCGCACGCATATGTAAATGGTGTTCGCCGCACACACGTGAGATATCGCCGCGAACGTCAGAGCCAGAGCAATAATTCTAGAACCAGACCTCCTCTGTAACTGCAAACTGGTAACCTGTAAAAAATGGATATTTTAGGTATCGTAGTTTGTCGCCGTTCCACGAGCGTGCGCTATTTTAAAGCGTGACATGTTATGTATCTAATTATTCGGCGTAACATCATCTTTTAAATTTGCAAAAAAATTGGGGTATATATTGTGCTAAGTTTTTTTTTTTTTTTTTTTAATTCATTAAAGTGCATTTTTTGCCAAAAAAAAAACTGCATTTGGAAGACCGCTGCAAAAATATCAAGTTCTAATTTATACTGAAAAAAAAAAAAAATTAAAAAAATAAAACACACGGATATATGTCCCTTTTCAATAGAACGCAAAATGTGCGGCCGCTCGGCGTCTAGGCCCAGACCCCGGGAGGACGCACATTTGCGTTCAGCCGGCGTGAAGAGGTTAATGCAGCAGGAAACTTTTCACTTTCCTCGTTTGTTTGTAAAGTCCATTTTGGGACACGGAGCCGGGAGACTTCAAAGTGATTTGGGAGAGATGAAATCTCCAATCCTGGGACCAGGTTTTTGGGAATGGCCAGGAGAGTGATTGGTGAGGTGTGTGTGGGTCTCTTCTAGAGTCAGGACCAGGGTTCTGGGCTCCACCCTCCGGAGGGGTCCATGTGGGTGAAAGGGAGCAGCCACAGGAGTGCATGGTGGTACGGTATAGTCTGACAGAGTAGACGGGGCCCACGCCTGTGGGCTGGAGAAGCAGGAGTGCTGGGAAAGGGTGCTAACCCAGGTGCAGGGTGTTGTATGTGAAGGGTAGAGAGGACCGAGGCACGAAGCCTGAGCAGTGGTGCTGCTGCTAAAGAGAGCCAGGAGGCTGAATATTTCTGTTTGTATTGATGGTGGATACCCCTGCGTGGGAAACATGTTATATGGAACTTTCTTTTAAAAATAATTGGCCAAAAACAGCCTTTAAAAAGAAGAAAGTGAATGACTGTGTGTTGTTACAGCTCTACCCTTGATGCTAGTTCCCAATATCTATGTATTTATTATTATACAGGATTTATGGCGCCAACAGTGTGCTCAGCGCTGTACAAAATAACGGGAGACAATGCAGCAACAATACAGATCAATACAAGAGGGATAGGAGGGCCCTGATCCTGGGAGTTTACAATCTAGGAGGGAGGGGCTGATCCTGGGAGCTTACAATCTAGGAGGGAGGGGCTGATCCTGGGAGATTACAATCTAGGAGGGAGGGGCTGATCCTGGGAGTTTACAATCTAGGAGGGAGGGGCTAGTGGTACAAAAGGGTAGTAACTGTGGGGGATGGAGTGGTTGGAAGAGTAGAAGATTCCATTATTAGCTGAGGGCAGGATAGGCTTCCCTGAAGAGATCGGTTTTCAGAGACAGCCTAAAAGTGAGCAGAGTAGGCGATAGTCTGATAAAATGGGGTAGAGAGTTCCAGAGGATGGGGGAAGCTCTGGAGAAGTCCTATTTCAAATGCCTAGAATTGTCAGGGCAGGGCTGTGGAACGGACAGGTAGGCCTAGTGGCAGGGTAACGCACTGACTGACGACAACCACCACCAACAGACCGAAGTCCCTCAGGGCGCGGAGTCTAAGTCCCAGGCTACCCTTCACCAGGGCCCCTGATGGTGGGGATGGACTTGACGCAGCCAGGAACCAGGTCATGGCCCCCGAGACACCCCAGCTGCGGTAATGGCCGCCACCAATGACGTGTAGCTGGTAAGAATGACAATAGCGTAGTCAGGCAGGCCGGGTCAACAACAACGGGACAAAACATTACAGAACAGTAGACAGAGAATCACAGGTCACGGGCCGGGTTCAGCAACGGAAGGTCAGAACGAAGGAAAACACAGAGAATGGTCAGGTCACAAGCCGAGTCAGATACCAGAAGAGTCACGAGAGTATACACAGAGCTGTAGCAACACCAAGACAAAAGTGCAAAGAGCATGTGCGGACCACAGGCTTATATGTACTCAGCCACACCCCTCTGGGGGATGGACCTCAGAGACCAGAAGGCATAATAGATTCCCACCATGCTCAGCAGAAATCCAACATGGATGCCAGCACATGGAGAAACATAACCTCTGGGAAGGGTAGGACCTTGACAAGAATGCCTGGATCTCAGAACAGAACCACCAACCATGCAGTAAGGTGCCCTCCTCACAGCCACTCTGGCAACAGCAATCTGATACCAATGGGAAGATTATATGCAGCAAAGATGGCGTCTTGTACGAACGGCCTTTATCTTGTAATCATTTTCCTGGGTGGATACATTCAGAGAGCCCTTATGAAGGTGCAAATGAATGAGGTCCCAGTCATCAGCAGAGAGCATAATCCCCAGTTTCGTTTCCCAGGCAGCACAGTCCGCCTGTCTTTCACAGCATTGAATTGAACAGCATAAAGGGTTCAAATTAGATGGTTTTGAAGATTTTTATGCAAAGTCGTTCTAAAAGCGTTTCCATGCAACCCGTTATTTGTTCCTGTGCTTGACCCATTGTTGCTGACCCAGCTTGCCTCCAGGGGCGGACTGACCATTCGAGCACTCGGGCACTGCCCGAGGGACCGGGGTCAGTAGAGGGCCCCATTAAATGCCCCTGGTAACTTTTTACAGGCTTTTTTGGGTGTGCTATGAGTGTGGACAAGGACACAGGGGCCCCATGATCCCCTACTGCCCGGGGGCCCCATGAGTTGTCAGTCCGGTCCTACTTGCCTCTGACTACGCCTAAACGCCACCTACTCTGACCCTGGCTTGTCTCTGGTATCCATTTCTGCCTCCTGCTTAAACCTGATCTGCTCCACCGTTGCTGACCTTGGCCTGTGCTCTGCTCTTCTGCCTGCCACTTAGGCCTGAACTAACCGTCTGCTACTGACCCGGTGGGCCTGACTCTGCATCCTGACTTATCCTGCCTGCCAGGTGCCTGCTGCTTAGTTCTCTACTTACCTGGTCCTCTCCAGTCTGCCCACCACTGGCACCCTGTCATCTACCAGACTGCTGCCTTCCAGTCCGGGGTCTGTTATTACCTGTCTGCTACCGTCAGTGATCCATCCTTCCCTGCCGAGCATCTGTCAGCCCTGTCAAGGCCCATCCGCTACCTGGTGTCTCCACCATCTTACTTACCTCAGGAGAAGCACCAGCTACCTACCTGTACAAACTGCTGGACAAGCTAAAGAGCCCTCATTCCTCTCCATGCTCTTGTGCTTTCTGTCACCCTACCAGGGGTCCTTGAGCCACAGCTGTAATAGAGACCTTCCTGTTCACATCAGCCTCTACTACCAGGTACATGACAGTATTGGTAGAACTGATTCAGGTCTAGGGAGAATTCCAATGATAGTTGCAGAAAGAAATGCCCGTAGCGAATAGGGAAGAATGGAAATAGCGCAGGGCATACATGACTAGGCCCAGAGTGGTGTAGGGAATGGAAAGGGTTAAAATTTAGCTCCAAGGGGTGGGGAATTGATTGGGAATTACGGGATTGGCAGATGTGGAGTGTAGGAGGGGTCTGTGGCACCGTAGGGTGGGGGTTGCTGCGGAAGGGGCGTCAGTGGAGCTGGATGGGTGCAAGGACCAGAGCTTCCCTCCCGCCCTCCCTGGTAGGTTGGGTATAGGGTATTGTCCGGGGGCAGGTGAGCAGAAAAATCAAAAAAAAAAAAAAAAAAAAAAAAAAAGAAAGGTGACACTGGTTGGAGAGGTGGGTTTTTTTTTTCTGTTGGTTCGTGGGCGGTTGTTGGTCTTTGGAGGCGGTTCTCATCTTGGAAGGAAAACAATGGTGTGGGACCCCATCCGTGGTATGGGGGGGCCCGGTGGATATTCCCAGTTAACCAAGGTTTAACTGGAAGGTGGTGGTGCTGCACTGCGGACGGTATGGTTGGCTCCGAGCTGGTTGGTTGCGGCTGGAGGCCCAGTGTATAGGGTTGTCCGCAGGTGCATTTTGGATCGTTTGTGGGTGCCTTTGAAGACCAACAACAATTCTTTGGTTTCCGTTAAGGAACGGTTGATGTATGTTAAAATGTGAAGTTGTTAATAAAAGGCCATGTTGGCCATTTACTCCAAAATGGTGTCATGTTTTTGTAAAGTTTATTTGGTTAAAGGGGGGTTTGAAGTGGTATGGATAGGCAATGGTGGAAGTAGGAGTGGACAAGCCTATCTATGGTGCATTAGTCAAGGATTTAGGAGTCCCATCAACATATAATTGAGATGGAGCAAGGGTACCTTGTCACTTCCATCTCAGAAATCCCTGCAGTTTTAGTAGATCTGGAAAAGGTTTGTTCCATATAGGAGTGAAGTTAGTGATGTCCAGCAGCATGTTTTCCACAGACCACCTGTCCGATACCTAGAACTTCCAGTAGGCATCTTCTCCGCCTATGTGTCACCATATCCAAGGATGCTTGTACAGGGGCTCCAAGAGAGACACCACCATCAGTCGTCACCTGGTAAATGACAAATAGACGGAATCGAGAGACCAACATTTCCTGGTACCAAAGAAGGTTTATAGCAACCGCAAGTCACTTATGAGTCAAGGGTGCAGAACGATTGGAGAAACAGAGGTAATATCGCACCCTTGTAGGAGTTATATAGCTGGCCTTAGAACAGGTATGAAAGGATAACATATGCATCTGAACGCCACCAAAATTCAGAATGGTATGGAGGCAGGTTGGCCAAACGCAGAACTGTGCATAGGTTTGTCCTGTACCTTCTGCTAGAGAACAGCATGAATTGATGGGAAGCTTTAGAATTGGTTCCCAAGGGAATGAGTGATAATGGGGTGCTGAGCTGAAGTTGGTTTCACTGAGTAAAATGAGAAATTGGAAGGAGCACAATAGATAGTAAATTGCATGAAGGAAGAGAAGAAGAGAAGAGATGGGAGGAGACAGGTAGAGGGAAGAATGAAGATCCACCACAGGGGGTGATCCCACATGACCCCTAACATAGGGGAAAAGACAAATGGGTAGTGACTGCTTTTCGGGGTCACTTGTGAGGTGAATAGAGTGACTGGATGGTAGTCCAGCCATGGCTGCCATATTGAGAGGAATTTGTCATGTATACCCAGTGTCCGGGACAAGGTCATCCAGCACACAGGGCAAAAATGCCAAACTTTGCTACCTCTTCCCATTCATGATGTTCGAGGGGATCCACTTAAGGGGTGCGCAACCCACACCTCCTCCCTGCTCCCTCTTTACTGCTCCCAGTGCTGGGCTGACAAGTGTAGGGATGCCGCTGTCACTATTCCTGTCAGCCTTGTAACAGAAAGAACTCAGCACAGAGCACCCCCATTCCTTCAATGTTCCATCGCGCCAAGGGAAGCCGCCCCTCCTGCCCACCCCTTGTCCTGGCCCTCTGTATACCCTCCAAGACCATTGTTAATTTCATGTTAGCAGAGGTACCCTGTAGTCTCAACTTGACTGCCTTAAAATTGAGAATTAGTGATATCATTGCACATGCTATTGTTTGTTTTTTAGCCATAAAAAATACACCATATTGCCAAAAGTATTGGTTGGCCGGCCTTTCCCCGCACATGACCTTTAATGGCCCCCCCAATCTTAGTCTGTAGGGTTCAGTATTGAGTTGGCCCCGCCCTTTCCCCGCACATGACCTTTAATGGCCCCCCAGTCTCAGTCCCTAGGGTTCAATATTGAGTTGGTCCCACCCTACCCAAACACATGACCTTTAATGGCCTCCCAGTCTTAGTCCGTAGGGCTCAATATTGAGTTGGCTCCGCCCTTTCCTCACACATGACCTTTAATGGCCCACCAGTCTTAGTCCGTAGGGTTCAATATTGAGTTGGCCCCGCCCTTTGCAGCTATAACAGCTTCAACTCTTCTGGGAAGGCCGTCCACAAGGTTTAGGAGGGTGTCTATGGGAAGGTTGGACCATTCTTCCAGAAGCACATTTGTCAGGTCAGGCACTGATGTCGGGGGAGGAGGCCTGGCTCACAGTCTCCGCTCTAATTCATCCCAAAGGTGTTCTATGGGGTTGAGGTCAGGACTCTGTGCAGGACAGTCAAGTTCCTCCACCCCAAACTGGCTCCTCCATGTCTTTATGGACCTTGCTTTGTGCACTGGTGGGCAGTCATGTTGGAACAGGAAGGGGCCATCCCCAAACTCTTCACACAAAGTTGGGAGCATGAACTTGTCCAAAATGTCATCTTAGGAGTTCCCTTCACTGGAACTAGGGGGCCAAGCCCAACCCCTGAAAAACAACCCCACACCATAATCCCCCCTCCACCAAACATTACACTTGGCATAATGCAGTCAGGCAAGTACCGTTCTCCTGGCCACCGCCAAACCCAGACAAGTCCATGGGATTGCCAGACAGAGAAGCATGATTGGTCACTCCAGAGAACACGTTTCTCCTGCTCTAGAGTGCAGTGGCGGCGTGCTTTACACCACGGCATCCGACGCTTTGCATTGTACTTGGTGATGGAAGGCTTGGATGCAGCTGCTCGGCCATGGAAACCCATTCCATGAAGCTCTCTACACACTGTTGTTGGGCTCATCTGAAGGCCACACCAAGTTTGGAGGTCTTTAGCTATTGACTCTGCAGACAGTTGGCGACTTCTGCGCACTGTGCGCTTCAGCATGCGCTGACCCCCCCGCCCGCCCTGTCATGTGACGTGGCCTACCACTTGGTGGCTGAGTGGCTGTTGTTCCCAGTTGCTTCCACTTTGTTATAATCCCACTAACAGTTGAGTGTGGAATATTTAGCCAGGAAATGTCCCGGATGGACTTATTGCCCAGGTGGCCACCTATCACGGGACCACGCTTGGAGTCACTGATCTCCTCAGAGCGACCCATTCTTTCACCAATGTTTGTAGAAGCTGTCTGCATGCCTAGGGGCTTGATTGTATACACCTGTGTCCATGGAGGGGATTGGAACACCTGAATCACATGACTAGGAGGGGATTGGAACAGATGAATCACATGACTGGGAGGGGATTGGAACACCTGAATCACATGACTGGGAGGGGATTGGAACACCTGAATCACATGATATGGAGGGGATTGGAACACCTGAATCACATGATATGGAGGGGATTGGAAACACCTGAATCACATGATATGAAGGGGATTGGAACACCTGAATCACATGATTTGGACGGGATTGGAACACCTGAATCACATGATATGGAGGGGATTGGAACATCTGAATCACATGACTGGGAGGGGGATTGGAACACCTGAATCACATGACTGGGAGGGGATTGGAACACCTGAATCACATGATATGGAGGGCATTGGAACACCTGAATCACATGATATGGAGGGGATTGGAACACCTGAATCGCATGATATGGGGGGGGATTGGAACACCTGAATCACATGATATGGGGGGGGATTGGAACACCTGAATCACATGATATGGAGGGGGTCGGAACACCTGAATCACATGATATGGGGGGGATTGGAACACCTGAATCACATGTTATGGAGGGGATTGGAACACCTGAATCACATGATATGGAGGGGGTTTGAACACCTGAATCACATGATATCGAGGGGATTGGAACACCTGAATCACATGATTGGAGGGGATTGGAACACCTGAACCACATGATATGGAGGGGGTTGGAACACCTGAATCACATGATATGGAGGGGATTGGAACACCTGAATCACGATTGGAGGGGATTGGAACACCTGAATCACATGACTAGGAGGGGATTGGAACAGATGAATCACATGATTGGGAGGGGATTGGAACACCTGAATCACATGATATGGAGGGGATCGGAACAGATGAATCACATGATTGGGAGGGGATCGGAACACCTGAATCACATGACTAGGAGGGGATTGGAACAGATGAATCACATGATTGGGAGGGGATTGGAACACCTGAATCACATGATATGGAGGGGATTGGAACACCTGAATCACATGATATGGAGGGGATTGGAACACCTGAATCACATGATATGGAGGGGATTGGAACACCTGAATCACATGATATGGAGGGGATCGGAACACCTGAATCACATGATATGGAGGACGGGGACAATACTTTTGGCAATATAGTGTGTATATGAAATCATACTGTGAGACTGCTCAGGGGTATCTATTATTGGTCTGTGGAGGAGGGCTTCCCATGGACATTTCGGAAGGGTAATCAGCGTTGTCGCGTCTATCACAGTGTATACTCCTATCGATAAGCGGCGTGCCTTTGGGAAGGAGTGAGGCCAACATTTTCGGACCTTTATAGAAAGTCCAACTACGTCCCCGTAACTAAACACAGCCAAATGCTCAGCCCAAAGACAGAGAGCCGAGCCTTAATAAAATCAGCGCGCTTGAAAACTCTAGCGGGAGCCTCCCGCACGCACGCGACACGGGGGCAGCGAGAGCACAGAAGGGAAATCACTTTCATCAGCTTGATGCTATTATTTGGAATTAATGAGCTGTGCCGTGTTAACAAGCGATTGAATGCGTTTAACCCACGTGGCGGCACGGTGACCCGGCAAGCTCGGCTCGGCTTTCGCTTTTCCAGGGTTAATTTCCAGCCAGCGAAAGAACAAAAGGTAAACACAGATCGCAGTTTGGGGAGCTCACATCCCCGCGTATCGACATATCTGTCTGGACGTCTCGTTACGCAAAATCAATCGACTTACAACAGCCGCGAGCAATATTGAATATGATAATTACATTTGCTGATCAGAAGAGCCGGGCTGCTGTGTACGGCAAAGGCCTGGAAGTGGGATGTGTGCGTTATTATTTGTAACGTAGCGGGAGATATCGCGTTCATACGCAGGAAAAGGTCTGCAAACAGTTGGAAGACTTCTGTGTTGTGCGCCGGAAATATTTGATTTTTGTTCAGAAATGAAGAAAAAACTCTACACCCGCCGATGTAATGAACTCAGCAACTTTTAGGAGAACTTTTTCAAGCCTTCAAGCAGCGGTTGTCAAATGTTTTCTGTATGCTACCCATCCCCCACCCCTTTGGAAGCAGCTGAACCTTCAATCTCCTTCATCCACCTCAGCATGGTCACCAGAGCTACTGTTAGAAACCACAGGGCCCCAAACAGCCAACCTTACAGGACCCCCCCCCCCCCCCCCCCAAAAACAACCCCAAAAAAAAAACAGTTTACTATGCTTTAGTTATGAATGAACACAGTGAGTGATGGGTGCTGATCACTCATTGAGGTTGATTTACTAAAACTGGAGAGTGCAAAATCTGGTGCAGCTGTTCATGGGAGCCAATCAGCGACCATGGTAGCTAACTTCAGCTGGTTCAATAAAACCTGGAAGCTGATTGGTTTTTATGTACAGCTGCACCAGATTTTGCACTCTTCAGTTTTAGTAAATCAACCCCCTTGTGTTCATTCAGGAACGGAAGGGGGCTGGTAAATGGGACATATTTACTGGACCCTTCCCCCACTCTCCATTCTGAAGGATCCTTATGTGTGCTTATAGCTGCCGGTGAGGAGAGGAGGGAAGGTGGCAGCACTGGGGGACCTGGGCAGCAGGGGAAAGGTATGGTCCACAGGGAGGGTGATGGGTGCGGTGGGGGTATTGCTGTAACCGATCCCCTGTATGGCTCTCTCTGCAGCAGCTGAAAGCCAGCAGGACGGAGAGGAGAAGAAGCCGTCTTTCAGCTGATGCAGAGAGAATCATACAGGGGATCGGTTCCAGTTATTGCCCCCCTGCCATGCCAATCACCCTCCCTGTCCACATCCAATTCACCCGACTGCCTGGGCCTCTCTGCTGGCCTGGGCCCCGTACAGAAGGACTGGTGGTACCCCCTTATCACGGCCCTGACTGCCACACGTACCTTTTAAATCAGGGGTATCAAACTTCATTTCATAGTGGGCCGCATCAGCATTATGGTTGCCCTCAAAGGGCCAGTTGTTTCTGAAAGGCTAGCTGTCCAGAGCGCCCAACTGCTCTTACATCATATGTAAAGAGCCCCCCCCCCCACCATCAGAGGTCAAGAGCCCTCCACCCTTCCAATGCACTACCCCTTACCCCTTACATTGTGCTTCTGCTGGGAAGAAGCCACAACACCCCTTCATCTCCACCTTCCCTGGTCTCAGCATTCAGCAGTCTCCGGCAGCTGACTTCAACCTTCCTCTGGTCCTCCTCCTGACCCTGCAGTTTCTGTGTCCCATCTCTGCCCCCCAGCTGCTTCCCAACAGCAACACAAGATAAGGGGATTGCACTCTGATGTAAGGGAGGGTGGCCCACTCTTAACTTCTGATGGTGGTGGTGGTGGGGGGGGGTCTTGATATCTGAACTTGGGGGAAGGGGGTGCTCTGGACATCTAGTCTTGAAAATACAACCGGCCCTTTGAGGGCAATGAAATTGAGTTTGACAATTCTACTCTAAGGGGACATATTCCTCAATAGACTCCCTGTCAAGGTCCTACCTTTTCCCTGAGGTTATGTTACTTCATGTGCTGGTGTCCATCTTGGATTCTGCTGTGCATGATGGGAGCCCTTTTATGCCTTCAGGTTTCTGTGGTCCATCCTCCAGAGGGGTGTGGGCTGATGACATATAAGCCTGTGGCCCGCACATGCTCTTTGCACTCGTGTCTTGTGTCTTTGTGTTGCTGTTACTCTGTTCTGACTCTCGTGACTCTCCTGGTATCTGATTCGGCTTGTCTTGACTATTCTTTGTATTCTCCTTTGATCTGACCCTCTGTTGCTGAACCCGGCTCGTGACCTGTGATTCTCGTCTGCTGTCCTGTACTGTTCTGTCCTGTTGTTGTTGACCCCGGCTTGTCTGACTACTCTTTTGTCTCTTCCACCAGCTACACGCCATTGGCGGCGGCCATTACCGCAGCTGAGGTGTCTCGGGGGCCGCGACCTGGTTCCTGGCTGCGTCAAGTCCATCCCCACCATCAGGGGCCCTGGTGAAGGGCAGCCTGGGACTTAGACTCCGCGCCCTGAGGGACTTCGGTCTGTGGGTGGTGGTTGTCGTCAGCCAGTGCGTTACATTGTTAGGCCTGCCTGTCCGTTCCTCAGCTCCTGCCCTGACACTCCCCTTTCCCCGTACTATCGGTACAGTGCCACCTACAAGGAAGAAGAATGGCGGCACCTGCTTCCAATGGAAATACAAGTTCTCCTTTCTCCAAGTAGGATGTGACAGAAAAAGGTCTAACATGGACTCTTCCAAACGCCTTCCATCTGTGCCATTGTTCCTCTTCTTCTCCCTAGTGGTCAGCTCTAGTGGATGATGCGATTCCATATCATATGATGGGGGCCCTTGCAGGTCATTATGAGATGGTCATTGTCTTCCTATAGTGATCTTTGTCAGGTTAGCTACTCTACTCGCAGTGGCAATGAATGCTGGGGACATGTGGCAACCATTACATGCACCCCCCCAGTCTTAGAATCACTTAAAGCAAACCTCATGAGAGAATACAGGGACTGCCATTGCGGACTTCCTTTACAAAAAGCTGTTTGGCCGTTATGCCGACCCACTGGCCTCTATGCTTTCTGAGTCATTGACCATACCAAATAGGAGCCGGCACCTCAGGTGGTCATTGGCTTGCCATTGACATGACTTCCTTAATAGTGCTGAGTTGGCCAGTATCCAGAGCTACCCTGTGTTGAATGAGCCTATAAGCAGTCAGCTTTGAGCACTTCTGTGTTCAGAGCCTAGAGGTGTCAGCATCTAGTTAAGGTGCAGATCAGGGGATCTATGAATCCTGTCTGCACCAGCTGGAAGCAGAGGAGGCATCATGGGTCTAGTTAGTAGACCACAACTGTCTGCAGGAATACTACCTTTCATTGCAAGGGAACTGTCATGGTCAGGGTCAGGGTCAGGCTCGGAGACCAGTAGCTATAGCAGTAGAGAGGCAACCAGCAGGGTGACGCGGGCTCACCCAGTAGAGAGGCAGTAGAGAGGCTCCCACCAACCAGCAGGATGACACGGGCTCACTTAGTAGAGAGGCAGTAGAGAGGCTCCCACCAACCAGCAGGATGACGCGGACTCACCCAGTAGAGAGGCAGTAGAGAGGCTCCCACCAACCAGCAGGATGACGCGGGCTCACCCAGTAGAGAGGCAGTAGAGAGGCTCCCACCAACCAGCAGGATGACGCGGGCTCACCCAGTAGAGAGGCAGTAGAGAGGCTCCCACCAACCAGCAGGATGACGCGGACTCACCCAGTAGAGGGGCTCCCACCAACCAGCAGGATGACGCGGACTCACCCAGTAGAGAGGCAGTAGAGAGGCTCCCACCAACCAGCAGGATGACGCGGACTCACCCAGTAGAGAGGCAGTAGAGAGGCTCCCACCAACCAGCAGGATGACGCGGACTCACCCAGTAGAGGGGCTCCCACCAACCAGCAGGATGACGCGGACTCACCCAGTAGAGAGGCAGTAGAGAGGCTCCCACCAACCAGCAGGATGACGCGGACTCACCCAGTAGAGAGGCAGTAGAGAGGCTCCCACCAACCAGCAGGATGACGCGGACTCACCCAGTAGAGGGGCTCCCACCAACCAGCAGGATGACGCGGACTCACCCAGTAGAGAGGCAGTAGAGAGAGGCTCCCACCAACCAGCAGGATGACGCGGACTCACCCAGTAGAGAGGCAGTAGAGAGGCTCCCACCAACCAGCAGGATGACGCGGGCTCACCCAGTAGAGAGGCAGTAGAGAGGCTCCCACCAACCAGCAGGATGACGCGGACTCACCCAGTAGAGAGGCAGTAGAGGCTCCCACCAACCAGCAGCAGGATGACAGAGGGCTCTCACCCAGTAGAGGACTCACCCAGGCAGTAGAGAAGCTCCCACCAACCAGCAGGATGACTGGGGTTCACCCAGTAGAGAGGCTCCCACCAACCAGCAGGATGACTAGGGCTCACCCAGTAGAGAGGCTCCCACCAACCAGCAAGATGACTGGGGTTCACCCAGTAGAGAGGCTCCCACCAACCAGCAGGATGACTGGGGTTCACCCAGTAGAGAGGCTCCCACCACCAGCAGGATGACTGGGGTTCAACCCCACCAACCAGCAGGATGACTGGGGTTCACCCAGTAGAGAGGCTCCCACCAACCAGCAGGATGATTAGGGCTCACCCAGTAGAGAGGCTCCCACCA